CTGAGGGCCGTTTTCCGGCTGGCGGGTCCTGAAGCTCCCAACCGCTCCTTGTTTTCTTTTTTTTTTTTCTATTCTGGGCCAGCTTTAGCTCTGAGGCCTCGCTGCTGAAAACATTGATACAATGTTGCGGTCCGGCAGTATTCTGGGGTTTTGTTTAGCTTCTATATTTGCTACATGGTTGCTTAGAGTTGCAGCTGAGAGGCCGGCAAGTGCGGGGAACGTTGGAGTCTGCTGTCACTGGAGCAAACAAGTCTCCCTGCTCGCTTCAGTGCATGGCTGCCAGCCGCCATCTTGGCTGACAGTTAATTTGCATAAGGATATGCTGATTAGCCAATGGGAAGGGTAGCGGTCATATGCTAATTACCATGTTTCTCTTTTATTAGTGTAGATTACTCTCCCTCCATAATTATTTAGTTATTATTAGGTTAATTTATAGAATTTTAAACTTTGTGCTTTTATTTTTTCCTGATTTGAAGCAGTCTGGTAAATGGCCACAAAAAAAAGAGAGAGAGAGAGAGAAGCAAATTAATTCCATATTTAATTGGTATGGATTGATGGCCAAATATAACTACTTTTGCAAGTAAAAGTTTAGTAATTGAACACTAGCAAACAATTCTTTCTTTTCCCTGAGCTGAATCTATATGACTCCATGGAAGAGTTATATTAACAGGAAAAAATTAATAGAAAAAATCAGTTCAAGATTCATTTATTACCACACTAGTCTTTTTTTTCTGCACAGATAGTATTTTTTTACAACTAGATGAATAAGGAGACTAGATGAATTTTGTTATGTGGCTCTCTTATTTTTCTGGTCAATGTCCTCATTTTCTTGCTTCTCAAATGATGATCCTTGGACCATCAGAATTGACATCACCTTGAACTTGTTAGACCTGCACATTCTTGGGCTCCACCTGTGACCACCGAATCAGAGTTTGCATTTAAACAAGATACCCAGCGGGTTTGTGTGTCAATTTGAATTTGAGAAGCAGTTCTAACAGAGTGTTTTTGAATATGAGAAGTACCCATTTTGTATTATGGGATAGAACCTTTTCTATTTTATCTAGAACAGTGGTTCTCAACCTTCCTAATGCCATGACCCTTTAATACAGTTCCTCATGTTGTGGTGACCCCCAACCATAAAATTATTTTCGTTGCTGCTTCATAACTGCAATTTTGCTACTGTTATGAATCATAATGTAAATATCTGATATGCAGGATGTATTTTCATTGTTCGCGACCCACAGGTTGAGAACCGCTGATCTAGAAAGATGGTAACCTATGATATCTGGAAAGATGATAACCTAATGAATTACCAGTTTTTGAATACTCTCACTATTGATTATAGATTTATGTATATGTGTGTACTCAAGTTAAAATCCCACAAATGCTATCATTAAATTGTAAGCTCACCCATCCCAGTTTTTCACATTCTCATGAACTACTTGTACCTACTTGACAGAGTATGTACTAGACTGAAAAAGAACTTTGTACCTGCAAGGTATGGTCTGTTGGACAATTAAAATGCAATTATAGAAGGTAAGAGATGAAAAAACTTTAGCAAATATTTAGTGTAACTTCCTCATTTTTACAGTTGAGAAAATTGAGGTTCAGTGACTTGGCCAAGGTTATCAAACAAGTGGCAAAACTGGGAGCAACCTGTGTCTCCCGACCTGCAGTGAGTGGAGTGCTGTGGACCGTGCAGAAGACACAGTCCAGCGTGCAGTCCCCATTAAACTGAAAATCGTTGCTCCCTTTCAGTCTGTAGAAACCTAGGGTTCAAGTACAGTTTGTTATTGACCAATGATCAAAGATGAATAAATTACCAGTTATAATACGAACTATGTGCCAGGTGCAGGGCTAAAGAGTTTTATATATAAAACTAATGTACTTGCTCTTATAATCCCCATTTTACCAATGAGGAGACTGAGACTGTGACATTGACTAACTTGCTGAAGTTTACAAGTATCTGGCAAACAGCTCGGTTGAAGTTCAGCTGCAGGTGTGTCTATGTCCAAAGATAAGCTCTCAACAATTCCAGTGTATGAAACTCAACCCATTTGTATATATTCCACATTTATTTTTTAAAATGAATAAAAATTGCTCACGTTCTCTTTTGTAGGTATACTTTGCCCATACAGTCCTGAAGTGGATAGAGAGAGCCAATATGGATGGTTCCCAGCGAGAAAGGCTCATCGAGGAAGCAATAGATGCTCCCGAAGGTCTTGCTATAGACTGGATTAACTGCAAACTCTATTGGACAGACAGAGGGTATGTTCCCTTTTAGCCATGTGAGGTAGGAGTCATGGGGTAGGTAGGACAGCTGGCTGCATCCTCCACTTTGAACATGGGAAATACGGCTGTGATTGGAAAAGATGTCCCCAATGCTGTCCATATTCCCCCCACCCTTACCCCACCAGGCAAATGTTCCTCTTTTCATTAGGATTGGATCTGTACCTGTAGGAGAATTTTGAGCGCAAAGAAAGTAGCGTGCTTTTGCACTTCAGGCTAGAAAAGCAAAACCTGTATGAATATAGTCAACAAACATTCCGTGAGCATCTGCTGTCGGTGGGGCGCTCTCCCACGCCACACGGGAGATACAAAGGAGCATGAGGAGTGTTTCATCTTTTCAGTCAGGTCACAGTTTAGCCAGGAGTTAAGGCCCATGCACACAGGGAAAACCAATACAAATGCTTGGTCTACATTTCAGCCCAGGAAGTGTCCTAAGGCCGTGCATAAACAATTGCCAAATGAGGGGTGTACACTCCCAGAGGGAGTGCCGGGAGGGGCTTCAGGGACCAGCTGGCCCAACCCTTCATTTTACAGATGGGACACTAAAGCTCAGAAAGGCTAAGTTACACAGCACACAAGTGACAACTCTTGGACTAGAATCCACATCCACGTGCTGGCTTTCTAAGTGACGTGAAGGAGGGAGAGAGGAGCTGTGAGGAAAGTCCTCGTGAGATCAGAGAAATGGCCTGTTTCCCCTTTGGTGGAAAGCAACAGAGCCAGAGAGAAGCTGTGGTGTTTCTAGCACACTGCTCTTGGGGCTACAGAAGGGACTGCTGTGTGTGTGTGTGTGTGTGTGTGTGTGTGTGTGGCCTGTGTGAGCCCCAGGAATGGTGGGTGGGAGGAGAGTGAGGGAAGGAAGTGCCTGCATCCCCCATGCGTGCTGTGAGAGCCCACCTCCCTGCTTGGGAGCGGAGGAAGCACCTCACAGGATGGTGTCAGAGACGCTCTGAGCTATATGATGCTTTCCCAGAGCCACTTAAAGCCAGAGAGTGAAATGGTGGCCAACCTGAACACCTGGTACCTATGCATCGTATTAAGAGAGGAGAATTAATTAGGGTTTCCCATCTATGAAATCAGCAGGCCAGGGAACAGGTTTGTATGCTTGGAGGAGGCTTTCTATGCCCCAGAGCAGCTCTTTTGGTCTGGATAGCCCATGGGAGACAAAGGCATTTTTAAAAACGAGCCAGGTGCTGATGTGATGCGGCACATCTATATCCAGAGTGGGTATATTTTCATTCATTCATTCGCTCGTTTAACCAGACCTTCATTCTTTTATTCTTTGGGGTATTTATTAACTGAAAGGTCCCAGATACTGCACTAAGAACTTCATATCCATGATACCATCGAATCCCCCAAAGATCCGTTTTCTAATCCCCAACTTAAACAGGAAAAAAGTGAGAATCAACGAGGTAAAATAACTTTTCCAAAGTCAAACAGTCCGCGAGTAGTGGAGCTGGAATTTGAACTCAAGGACAGCCACTCCCGAAGCGTATGCTTTTAATGATCACAGATATGTACTGCCTCCCCCAATCAGCGCTGATTAAAATGTGCTCAAGCCAGAGTCATAGAACACATGGAAGTCAACTTCAGTTGTCATAATGATAAAAATCATAATAACGGCCTCCTCTGTGGTGAACCTACTTAAAAGGACATTTAAAATGTCAGCTGTGCCTAATGACAGAGCTTGTACACGGCTCTTCTCAGAAGAGTAAACGTTGATCAGGATGGCAGATGTCAGCGCTGTCGACCCCTGCGAGGCTGCCAGGTCTCCTCATATTTCCCGCCTTTGCCCGGCCCCTCTAATTTGAACCGTGTTTGATTAATAGCAGCAGGGGACCCAGGGCGGAAGCGATGCCTTCAGACACAGACAGGCACCGTAGCCTGAGACGCAGGCCTCAGATTCCCTAGTTCGCTGGCTTCGGTAATAACAAACCCTTCTTAAGCCCTCTTTCCTCTAAAGGCAGCTGCTAAAAGAAAACCTTTAATTTGTCTGGAAATGAAAGGTTTATAGTTTGAAAACCTTGATATTAGCTAGAAATTGGATTTAAATAGCTGAGATTCCAAGCTTGTGATATTAGATTATATGGTAACTCTGAACCAATAAAAGAACCAGGGTGGGTGCCTCTAGTTTACATTGGCTTACGAAAAGACAGATTCAAATGAACATCTAACAGTAGGAAGGAAGCTAATTGATAATTTCACCGACAGTGCTGTTCTTTAGTACTAAGGAATCCTGCATCCTAAAGTCAATTGCCCAGTAAAAAAGAATCAAGAGGGTGAAAATATACATCTTTTGCTCATTCTTTTGAGATCAAAACTACCATGAGGCAAAAAAAAAATCACTTTTCTAAGTTTCTAGATCAGTGATGGCAAACCTATGACACGCGTGTCAGAGGTGACACGTGAACGCATTTTTTTGGTTGATTTTTCTTTGTTAAATGGCATTTAAATATATAAAATAAATATCAAAAATATAAGTCTTTGTTTTATTACCCTCAGGCCAGTGACAGGGTGGGGGGTTTTACAGAGTAGGTTTTAGCACTTGATTCCATCCCCCTTTCTCCATCCTGCTGCCATTGCCCCAGCTCTGTCACCATTCTCTCTGGTCCACCTTGTCCTCTCCATCCTAAAGCCATAGCATGAGGACTGTTTCCCACGCTTCAGGCCTCCCAGACTTGGCACTCGCTTCTGCTTAGGGTGTTCTTTTTTTAAAAAAAAATTTTAAATTGATTTCAGAGAGGAAGGGAGAGGGAGAGAGAGTTAGAAACATCAGTGATGAGAGAGAACCACTGATCGACTGCCTCCTACACCCCCACTACCGGGATGGAGCCCAGAACCCAGGATGCCCTGACCGGGAATCAAATCATGACCTCCTGGTTCCATAGGTCATGGCTCAACCACTGAGCCACACCTGCCAGGGCAGGGTGTTCTTTGCCTGTCCTCTACCCTCCCCTCTCCCTCCCAGCCCTGGATCTCCCGCTGAACTCTCCGCTCTGTAAGGACAGAGACAGGCTGTTGTATCTCCAGTGTTTAGGCCAATTCCTGACGTGTACAGTAGGTGCTTGCTCAGTAACTGTCTGTTTGATAACCAAGGTTTGTTTGACAAATAAATGGAAACAAACAATTTCTTCTCTGCCAGATTCCAGAGAGCTATTTATTAAGTATAAAGTTTAGCAAATAATAATCGTTTAATGCTCTCATTTGTCTAAATATCATGTGGAAGAAAATAAAAGTCAACATAAATCTCCCTTGCTGTCCTGTGCGGCTGTCTCGGGGCCCTCGGAGCTTTCCTCTCCTCCTTCCCGGGATCTGTGACCACGAGACTGACCCTTCTACTGGCTTCCATTGGTCCCTGGGGTGATGGGAGGCTGTGAAGAGAAAGGGATGGTGGGATTTGCACTACAAGCTGTGTCCCTGCCAGGCCACTGACACGATTCCCTCTTACCTTATCCTTTCACTGTGCAATTTAACTGCCTGGGATAAATATTGGCATGCTAATGAAAAGACTACAAAAATAGAATTTGTGGGCATTTGGTCCTGGTGTGTGTGTGTGTGTGTGTGTGTGTGTGTGTGTGTGTGTATGCGAGCACATGCTCAGTGGGAGTAGTTTAGAATGTCAGTCTTTGCATTTAGTAAGCAACAGTGAAAAAGAGTATTTTTGTTGAAAAAGTAAGCATAATGTAACAGCCCCTTAATGTGACATGCATTTTAGGAAATCTGTCATTGAAGGCAGTGATTTAAGTGGAAAACATCGTGAAATACTCATTAAGGAGGACGTCTCTCAGCCTCGAGGAATCGCTGTTCATCCAATGGCCAAGTAGGTCCTCGTGAAATTCGGGTGCCTTTCTGAGAGGTCATGTTTGAAATGAAATGCTAAGGTCCAAAATCTGTCTTCAAACCTCAGTGGGTCAGTGGAATTGAAAACCAAGAAAATCCACTAGATTTGGCCACATCTTCAGATATGATGTGGCTACCATGATATCCTCATTTTTAAGTCTTTTCATTTTCTATTTTTATGTAAATATTTTATTCTCTAGATATCCTTTCATTTTAATCAAATTCAATTTCTTTTTAAAAGAAAGAAATGGGCTGTAATTTAGTAATCAATCAGAGATAAGCCCATTAAACTGCTTTCTTTAAAAGGTTACATTATTGTTTTCTTGAACAGAGGATGATATTTAGATTGTATGACTTATTAATTCTATTTAGAAAAGTCTTAAGATGAGTTCAAATGATGGGTCATTCCTAGATTTAGACAAAAGGAAATAGAAATCATGAAAGATTAGAAGATTCTATGTTGTTAATTATGAATTAGTGACAAATATTGGTTTAGGTTCAGAGAAGTAAGGAGAATCACCAATTCCTCCCTAGATTTTCAAAAACAAGGATAAAAAACAGCTCTTTTATTGATGATGGTCTATGGGAAAGATAATAATGGTAATAATTGATCATTGATTTGGAGCCAGCCACATGAATAAAAGAGTGACAATGTATCCATCTCTAAACAGGCCAGAGAAAAGATATGGACCTCAAAAAATGTCCCTCAGCAGTTATAGAATGTGATATACAGAACTTAAATTAACAAGGTTAACTGAGTACATTGTATAAAACTGGATAGTAGATAAATATGCTCTTCTCTTTATGCTGTAATTTTACATGTACAGTGAGTTTATATCTGCATAGCAGAAGGACAAGCCAGCAAGATCTCAGTGCCATTTGTAGCATGAAATGCTAATTTAAAAATATGCACTTGAACACACTTTCAATTAGTAATATTCTGCAATTTTTTAAAATTAATAATTCCTTTTTTATCTAATGACCTGAGCCTTAATTCAACATTTCCTGTCCAAGATGCTCTACATAGAAAAGATAAGTTTTTGCTTTTGAAAAAATGATTCATCCAACATAGTGTTATACTTGCTTCTTCTATAGTTCTTAGTTTATTCTAAAGTAATTTACTTGATGTTCCCAATGATGAAAGAATAGGAGAATTTTTGTGTGCAAATTTTATTTATTGTATGCTTTCTTGATTAAAGGAGATTATTCTGGACTGATATGGGGATTAATCCACGAATTGAGAGTTCTTCCCTTCAAGGCAACGGCCGGCTGGTTATTGCTAGCTCTGAGCTGGTCTGGCCCAGTGGAATAACGATTGATTTCTTAACTGACACGTTGTATTGGTGCGATGCCAAGCAGTCTGTGATTGAAATGGCCAATCTGGATGGTTCAAACCGCCAAAGACTTGCCCAGAACGATGTAGGTGAGGCTTTGGGATGGGTGATTGCTTCATCTTGACTGAGAACTGATGAGTGTTAATACAAATTGTGTTTATACACACATGCACGTGCATACACCACATTTTAAACCGTCTGATGAGAAAGAAATAGAGACAGGCTGACAGACTTCTCTGGGGATTACCTGAACATTGGAATATTGAATAAAAAAAGTGATGTGCAGTCATTTCTCTTTGCCAAGATTTCCAAAAATCAGAAGGAAAACTTTAAAAAATTTAAAACTTTTTTAAGAATAAGAACTTGATTCAGCTGTTATCATTTCTTTCGTTTTAGAAAATGTCATTTTCAGCACAGAGATAATATCCTCTTCAGAAATTAATGAATATCTATTGATAACCTGTGCAAAGGCTAATATAGCTTTGCCCCTTATTATAGTTTCAGACCTTACATGGGTTATCATGTATTTTCTTAAACATCCTTAAAACACTGTAGTTATGATAACTGTTAAAGGAGAAGTACAAATGGCTATGAGATTCCTAGAGAGATTCATTTACTAGTAGACTCAGGGAGACAGCATTTGAAGCAGGCCACGTGGGAAATAGATGATGATAAAACTTGATCATTTGAAATAAAGCTGCAGTAATTGTTTTTTGTATGTCAGTATTGCCAAGATATGTTGATGAACTTAATTCTGAATGTACTAGGGAGCCATTGCATGTTCTTGAGCATTGGTATTTGAATATGAGATTGGTGTTTCAGGATAACCACTTAAGTAACAGAATAAGAGTTGGAAATTTGGAGAGAAGGCAATCAGTCAGGCGACTACAAAAGGTGTCCAAAAAACAGCTAATGAAGGCCTGAGCTAGAATATTGCCATAATAACAGGAAAATGGAGGACCATTGAAAAATCACTGTAAAGAAAAAAATTGAGATTTACTAACAGATTGGATATAGAAATAAGGGTCAGAGGGGTGTTAAAGATGCTTCAGAGGTTTACAAAATGGTTGGTTGGAAGATGAAAACACATGGTTTCTTTTTTAAGGAATAAGCTAAGAAACTAATAATCTGTATAAGTTATTTATTTTGCCCATTCTCTTTAGTTTTAGAGGTCATGAATTTCTAGATTAGTATTATATGTTACATAGATCAAGATAAATAAAACTGTAAATGTTACATACTTCTGTTTCTTTAAAAATTAGAGATGCTTCACATAAATGATAAGCTTGTGCACAATTATAGACTTTATTCATCCATGCACTTAACAGATATTTATTGAAGCAGATATACAGTGGAGATTTAAACAAACATTGTTCCTGTGAAGTCATGGGTCTAGAGGTGAAGACTTACTTTAAAAATGCATCTCCCAAATAAATGTGAAATTTTATCTTTGATATATGAGGGTATTAAGGGATTTGAAAATTTCTAACCAGACTATAAAGAATCAAGGTTCTAAACCAAAAATCATAGCAGAAATTTAAAAAAATAATTTGTATTTTTACTCTAATCTGTGACTAATGCCACTTCCTATTAAAGGCCATTATCAAATAATTGGACATTAAATGTCTAAATAACTATTCCCATCACTACAGTGCCATCTACAGGTATGTAAGTGGTGGCTTCTCAATGGTCAGTTCAGGATATTTTTTCTTTAATTGAATTTATTGGGGTGACATTGATTCACAAAACCATACAGATTTCAGGTGTACAACTCAACAAAACATCCTCAGCACGATGCATTGTGCGCCCATCGTCACAAGCAAAGTCTCTTCCAGTCATCATGCCCCACCTTTGCCCAGTTCCACCTACCCTCCACCCCAGCCTCCCTCCCTCTGGCTAACACCACACTGGATTTTTCATGTAAAGATTGAAAGAATTTATTCTTAATTTTAAATGCAACAGTGGCTCTTTCATAACCAAAAAATAAAAAAAGTGTTTTGTCTGGTATGGGGTATTTGTTGAAAAACTATAGTTAATTCTGACACATGCTACAACATGGATCAACCCAGAGGACATGAAGCTAAGTGAAATAAGCCAGTCACAAAAGATCAATATTGTATAATTCCACTTATTTGAAGTATCTAGAATATTCATAGAAACAGAAGGTAGAATTGGTCTTTGTCAGGGACTAGAGGGAGGGAGAAATGAGAAGTTGTTGATTAGTAGGTATAGAGTTTTAGTTTTACACGGTAAAAATTTTCTGGAATTTGGTTGCCCAACAATGTGAATATACTTCATTTAACACTACTGAACTATGCACAGGTTAGGATGGTAAATATCGTGTCACGTGTTCTTTTACCCAAATAAAAAACCTGACAGCTATATAAAAAATTCCCTTGGTGCATATATGGCTTTAATTTAGGACAATGGGCAGAGACTAAAATGAATCTTAAAGACTCATTGCCACCAGGACAAGTCATTTGCATTTGCTGCCAGAAGAGGGAGACATTCATTCTAATCTACCAAGTCCACAGCCCATCTGCAAAGACTGGACTGGGGAATATGAGTGGATGTGATAAAGCTTCCAAACTTGGGCCTCCTTAGCTTCACTCTCTAATTACTTGAGATGGTTTATTGCAACATTTCCCCGCTTACTCAATCCTGGAAAATCTTATCAGAGCAATTTCAGCAGCAGAGAGAGATGGGTTTAGTTGAGATGGTATTGGAAAGGCTCCCCTAGGGTTGATAGCCATGAAAATGGAGGCAGCAGATAATAAATGACTTAAAAAAAAAACTTGACTAAAAATGGAAGGAAAGAGACAAAAAGAAGCTAGGGGGCAAGGTCTAGGGGACGAAGAAATTAAAATGAAAGAGACCTGAAGATATTCATTAGTTACAGGAAAGAAGCTAGTAGAGTGAAGAGAATGAAGATGTAAACAAAATGGGTAATTGACTAAACAAGGACCTAGAGAAAGCTCGACAGAGGACGATACCAGGGGCACAGGACAGTGGATTAATATTAAATAAGAGGCAAGATAGGAAAGGAGGTGGGAGTCCAAGGCAGGGAAATGTGTTGATGGAGATGGGAATTTGAAGAGCCTGTTATTCAGTTACCTTAAATTTTTAAATATCCTTACAACAACCTGTGAATTAGTGTACTACTTATTCCTGCCATTCAAAAGACAAGAGACTGAAGGCAAAGAAGGGTAAGATAACTTATTCAAGTTTCTAATTACTGACAGATCACTGAACACAAAGTTCCCACCTGGCCTCCTTCCTCTTGGTGAAATTACAGGGTGGGGCAAAAGTAGGTCTAAAGTTGTTCATACGAAAATAATACAACAATCCTATATAATAAAGAGCTAATATGCTAATTAGACCAAACAGCAGAACGACCGTCCGGACGACCTTTCCGACAAAGCCGGGGCTGTGAGGGCTGAGCCAGCAGGGGCTGTGAGGGCGAGCCCCTTGCACGAATTTTGTGCATTGGGCCTCTAGTTAATAAATAATAATACAAGAATAAACTCTGTGTTTTGCATACTCATAACTGTAAACCTACGTTTGCGCCATCCTGTATGCCAATGAGCCCTTATTCTCCAGTTCTCCAAATGCTGGGTGACCATGGGCTTTGCTAGGACTTCATACCACCAGACTCCCATTCGAAGATGAGGTAGGGATAAGTGTAGGAATCATGTGTATGTTTCAAGCCTTATTCTTTTAAAAATATTCATGGCAAAGACAAGATGTATGTAATGCACTGGGACTGCTTCCAGGTCACCCGTTTGCTGTGGCTGTGTTTGAGGATCACGTGATGTGTATGTTTCAAGCCTTATTCTTTTAAAAATATTCATGGCAAAGACAAGACATATGTAATGCACTGGGACTGCTTCCAGGTCACCCATTTGCTGTGGCTGTGTTTGAGGATCACGTAATACAAGAATAAACTCTGTGTTTTGCATACTCATAACTGTAAACCTATGTTTGCGCCATCCTGTACGCCAATGAGCCCTTATTCTCCAGTTCTCCAAATGCTGGGTGACCACGGGCTTTGCTAGGACTTCATACCACCAGGCTCCCATTCGAAGATGAGGTAGGGATAAGTGTAGGAATCGTGTGTATGTTTCAAGCCTTATTCTTTTAAAAATATTCATGGCAAAGACAAGATGTATGTAATGCACTGGGACTGCTTCCAGGTCACCCGTTTGCTGTGGCTGTGTTTGAGGATCACGTGTGGCTCTCCGACTGGACCATGCCATCGGTAATAAGGGTGCACAAGAGGACTGGCAAAAATAGGGTACGTCTCCGAGGCAGCATGCTGAAGCCCTCATCACTGGTTGTAGTTCATCCATTGGCAAAACCAGGTACACTGGACATGTTACACAGTCTTTCTTTGGCTGGAATCTGCAACTATTTTAATTGTTCAATGGCAGGGGAGGAGGGGGGATGTTGCAATTCTCACTAATCCAGGTCGATGTTAAGATTTCCCGAGATTTGGATTTTGTCTAAACTAAGACAGCCTGGTAGTGAAGTTGGGCTTTATTCTTTCAATCCCATTTCCCTCCCCCCCCCCCACGCCCCACCTACTAGACAGCTTTTATCTATCTCGTCTTTTTAAAAGATTCTCGGTTAAAGGCCTTTGGATTTTGTCTAAACTAAGACAGCCTGGTAGTGAATTTGGGCTTTATTCTTTCAGTCCCATTCCTCGCCCTCCTAGACCGCTTTTACCTATCTTGTCTTTTTAAAAGATTCTTGGGTTAAAGGCACTGAGGATGAGGGTGGGAGAGGGACAGTTTAACCACCTGCAGGGGAAGCTTCTGTCTACGTTGGGGCCTTTCTCCACGCCCTGAGCGTGCCAGGGAGTGAGCAGATAGAAAAGGCACCTACTGTCCTACAGCAACTCTTCTTTCTGAGCTGCCCTGTGTCCATCTGACTAGATCATGGGGTAGGAAAAAGGAATATCCTCTTTCTAAAGAGCTTCTCAGACAACAGTACTGGTTATCCTCAATAAGTAACTCATAAGGTAATAACATTTTGAGCTAAACTGAGCTCCTTATAGGAGCGCTTCTGAAATAGCCCTTGCTACAGGCTCCATTTAGAGACACCAAGTTTCTCTCCCCCTGAACTGTACACTGTGATTTGTATCAATGTGCCCTTTTGATATCCAAGCCCATCTGTGAATGCAGCTCTTTCCCCCACTAGGAGCGGATCCCTGCTTATTCCAAAATGGAGGCTGTGAACATATTTGCAAAGAGAAGTTTGGAATTGCTCAGTGCTCATGTCGTGAAGGTTTTGTGAAAGCCCCAGGTGGGAAGAAGTGTCTGGCTCTAAATGTTCATCAGATATCGGCAGGTAATGTAATAAATTATGTGCTAAATCATCCTACCTTGGCTCAGGGATACAGTTCTGTTCTACACTAAACCCTATGCTTTTGCTGAGTTTTAATATTTTGTATAATTAAAAGCCCCTCTGCTTTCAGGGAGGCCAAGTGTTTTTTGTTTTTTGTTTTTCTTCCTCTGATGAGTCTGAGCTTCTTATTAAAGACTAAATTGAATTGATCTCCTCTCGTTGTAAACTTAGTGAACAAAAGAAAATATTCAAAGTCCAATCCTCCAACCCTCTCTTTATGGTGGAGTAGCCCAAGTTTAGAAACAAATGCCAGTATTTTACCACCTCAATTAATGTTCAGAGATATTTTGTTTAGAAGTTTTATGGCCTCAGTGTTGGAGGTGGTCATATACAACCCCCCTGCCACATGACTGGTGTTAGGATAGAAGTCAAAGTCTTTTCTAATAAATAATATTTCCTCAAGCAAGTATGAGGAATCCAACCTGAGAAGGCTGTGATCACGTTTTTAAAAACTGTGACTTTGAGGAGGAGGAAGAGCGGGTCCAGTGTGATGTGTCAGTAGTCCTGACTTCCTTTTCTTGACTGTACATCTAAGCAATTTTGGTATATTTGGATATATCTCTTGATATCTTTGTAGCAAAGAGAATTTATCTTTTATTTAAAATATATTTTTTAAAAAATTTGTATTCATCTAATAGGCATGGTGTAAGGTAGATGACAGATTGACAGCAAATAAATGGATCAATCTATCCATGAACTAGAATTAGATATTTTGGGTTTTTAGAACTTTCTATTCATTGTTGTCTTAGGACAACAGTTCTCAATATTTTTAGTTTCAAGTGTCCTTTACATTCTTAAAAATAACTGAGAACTGCAAAGAGTTTTTGTTTATGTAAGTTATATCTATCCATATTTATATTAGAAATTAAAACTAGCCCTGACTGGTTTGGCTCAGTGGATAGAGCGTCGGCCTGCAGACTGAAAGGTCCCAGGTTCGATTCCGGTCAAGGGCATGT